CTGCCTTGAGAGTGAGTAAGGCTCCTCTGGATCTGCATGGAGACTGGCAGTCACGGATGTGAAGTGGGGTGGTTGTTTTTGGGCTTTCCTCATCTTGTGGTCACTAATCATATATAACAACAGGACACACTCAGTTTGCCCATGGAGTAGTTTTTTTTTTCTTGTATTTAACAATATTTAGCTTTGACCTGCTTTACCCCGTGTGTATCTGTGTTCAGGTACAGCACTGTTTGGCTGTTTCCTTCCAAGCGCCTGGAGCACTCAGCACGTGCTCTGCAGCTTATAAATACTGCAGCACTACACAGAATAGCGGGTTTTGGTGGTTTCGTCCGTATGCAGGCTAAGCTTGGTTGGACTGAGTTCTTTTTCTATGTTACCAGGATAGAAAACTGAGCATAACCTGTAGGACAGCAAAATGTGTGTTAGAATAGTGTTGTTTTTTCACAGTACATAGTTACTTGATGGTGTGCAAACTATAGGGTTTTCAATATCTGAAGTTACAGGTGGTGCTGTGTTAGGAGCATTTAGATTAAGAACACACCAGCACATGCTGTTTTCCCCTCTCCTTTGCCTTTATCAAATTTTAAACTGTTTGGGCTGAATTTTTCCAAGTCAGAGATCTCAGATAAGGAAGATGGTATGCACTGTATCAGTCACTCCTGATAACAGGTCCAGGAAAAGTGACAGCTGCATCAGTGCAGAAAGGTGACATTGGATTGGGATGTACCCTTGGCTGTTCCCGTGGCAGGCTGCTCAGACTGGCCGTGTTAGAAGCCTTCGAAAAATAGCAGCAGTTAGCACTTGTGCATTAAGGACTCTGCCGTTTAATGTCCTGAAAGATTACAGCCGCGCTGAGCAGGGTGAGCCTCTCCTGGGGCAGGATCTTCCTTGCAGGCATGTGTCCTGGACAGACAGAGGTTGTTGGAGGCCAGGCTGAAGGACGTGGGGCAGAAGCGGTTGTAGCCGTTAGGTGTGTGGGGAGAAGTGGGCAGAAGAGTCTCTGCTGGCTAACCACGTCCTCCTCCAGATCCCAGCCAGAAACCCCTGATTTTTGTCTTTCCGCAGCCCTTTGTGAGGGCAGGTGTTTGTCAAGGCCACTGCCAGGGCCATCGTGTTCCCCTCCGGCTCTGGGATGTGCCGGGGCTGAGCACCCCATCCCGTGTCTCCGTGCAAGTGGCAGGCGTCTGGCAAGGGGGGTGATGGCAATGGAAGACTCAAACCTTTCAGCTCTTCTGATGACCTCTGCTGGCATCAGCATGGGGAAATTCCTTCTTTCTTAGTCTGCTTTTGAAGAAGATCCAAGTCCTAGTATTTCATACAAAACCCTGTGAAAGTTTCCCGCTCCCTATGACACGTTGAGTTCAGCTCTCAAAAGTGAAGACAGTAAAAAACCCAGATGCATGCTGTGCCCGAGTGTGGGTTTGGTTTTTTCTCTGGTGTTAGAAACACTAAACTTTCTGCAATTCGTTATTTTCTCAATGATTTTACAGTTTTACTGGGAATTGTGACATGAAGTTTGAACTGAGGTTTGCGGTTTTGTCTACCAGTAAGATAAGTGGCTGTAGAAGTCAGAGACTGGGGCGAAGGAAGTTGAGTGCAGAGTGGGTGAACTGATTTTGACAAGAGAAACCAAAGTGTTTTGGGTCACTTTTCAAAATCATCGCCTAGGAATGGACCTCCTAATTTAATTGGACCTCCTCTGTTGACACCCTGCTCGGACTTAGTGTTGGGGTTTGGAAATTGTTTCAGGATAAGCTGTTTGGGCCCCTAAACATAAGCAGTTCAAGAGTACGTGGAGTTGTGTGTTTCTCTGGTACACAAAAGCTGGTCTTAGAGACCTGTCCTCAATCATACATTACTTGGAAATTTTAAATTGGTTTAAATTAGTTGATATTTTCAGGGATCCCCTCACACCAGAAGGAGCTGGTTACTTTAAAATATAACACACTTTTTTCCCCCACTCACTCTCTTTTTATGAACAAAAGGAGAACAAAGAAATACTGAGGGTGCTTTTAACTTTGTGCCCTCACACACAATCATTAAAACCCATTGCAATCTGGCTGGAGGCCAGCTTTGATCACGAGGAATCCCAAAGTGCTGCATAAACTTGCACTGGTACACGAGCGGTACTCGAGGTCCACTTTGGTGTCCACCAGCACAGAGTGGTCTGCAATGGCTCTGAGAGATGCTTTGGAGCCACTCGAGCAGGAAATTTAAACTTTCTTTAATCTCTCCCCCTCCTTTTGCACCTCTTCTCCAGGGGACTTCTGCCTGCCCAGAGCCTAGGTCTCTTACCTACGTTTTGGTGCTTACGTTTTTCGTTCTTGGGTCGGTGCGATCGTCGTGATTGCTATTGTTACACTTGCTGTAATGGAAAATAAGATCATAGAATCATAGAATGGTTTGGGTTGGAAGGGACCTTAAAGATCATCTAGTCCCAACCCCCCTGCCATGGGCAGGGACACCTTCCACTAGACCAGGTTGCTCAAAGCCACATCCAGCCTGGCCTTGAATTTATCCAAGATCAGTCCTCCAAGATTGATCTTGGAGACTCTCAGCGCGGCACTTTGAGGCTGGTTTTGGGTGATGCAGGCTATTTCTCATCGTACAGTCTGCAACTGCTGCTGCAAGGAGGTCCCGTTTCCCCAGCACATCTCGGTCCCCTCCCACGTGCCGGTGCTGGCAGCAAAAGCCAACTGGGCAAACAGCTTACCCTACCAAAATGTGAAGGGGTTTTTCTGCGTGTTTAGCTCCCAGCTCCAGCTCACTGGGGGATCGGATGAGTGAGTGCAAGCACAGGTGGAGGGAGAAGAGCAACATGCATGAAGGAGGGCCTGGAAAGCTGGACCAGCATCTGTGCTTCAGCGGTTAGATGGGCATCGTGGTTGCAAGTTGGCACTGTTTCTTGCCATGCTGGATTTTTTTTCTGTGTTTAATCTTTTCTTCACCCTACTGCTAGTTTAAAGGTGTTTCAGGCCACTTTTCCTCATAGGAGTTATTTTGCATCCCTTTCTGATATTGGTTCACTTGCTTTTTTTCTCTTTTAAATGCTGATGAGAGGTATAAAAATAGAGGAGGGAAGTGAATGGAAGGAAGTTGAATTGAGAAGAAAGAACAAATTTCCATATTCTTTGTCCTGTTTTGTTAAGATTCATGCAATATTTCTAGTCAAGGAGGTTAAGTTTTGTCTTTTTGGTTTAGATGAAGACTCAGGAATGTATAAGGAAATGGTATTTTCATCTGTTCCTCAGGATCGTATCTCAGCACAGAATCAAAGGCTGCTGTGCTCTCAGAAGTGTTTTATTTCAGATGGAAAAGAAAATAAAGCTGCAGCGCTTATGAAAGTTCAGATGCATTCCTGAAAATCTTTCAGAGGTTGTATGGGTTTGTTGCCTCAGCTCTTGCTATGAGTTTGATTTAAAATGACCTCCTAAATCTGTTAATAGTCTTGCAAAGCGACTCATTTTGCTTGGCCCTGGGTGGAAACTGTGCAAATCCACCAAGTTCTGCAGGAATTCCTCCAGGAGCCAAAGCTGTTCAGACAGAGCAAAGGGTGTGTAAATCTGAAATTTGTGACACACCTCCAGTTTTGGGTTCGTTTTTTATTTTTAATCAGGTAAATCAGCGGAATCTGACTCGTCAGGAGAAGAGAAGCTATTCACTTGCATACTTAATTTTTCTGTAAATATAACAGTGTCCTCCCAGAACTCAGGATGTTTTCAGTGTGAGCATGGACAGTGTCAGAGGCAGAGCTCAAAGGATCAGAGGTCCTGCAGGGACAGTGCCCCCAGGATGTGCTTACCCTGGTGTTAGTTAGATGCATATGACCCTTTCTACTCTTGAACTGCAAGATTAAAAAAGTAAACAGAGAGATTTTTTTTAAAAATATATATGGCTATTTTTATATATGTGGCTATTAGTTCCAAAATAATTCCAAATACATTAATCTGAAATTACACATTTACATACTTTTAACTCTACCCACTATGTAAATTGTGCTGCTGAATGGCTGGCTTCTTCCAGAGGAGCTTGTGCTGAGTGAAGAAATCTTGTTTCTCGTGTGTGCTTTGGTATAACTGCCTTGACAGGCTTCAGAGTGACAGGCTCCTCATCACTGTAATAACATGCAAGTAAGGGTTCAAATTTATCATCGCTGCTAATTGCAAGTCTGTTGTTTTTGGACTGTCGTCTAGGCCTCAGCCCCAGTTGGAGACACGTTCTCTTTGGCACTGTAGACGGGCGTGATAAAGGATATTCTGTTCCTTCAAAGCTTGTCATGTACCTAGAAAAGAGAAAAGTAAGCTCATGTAGGAGAAGGGGTCGAGCTTCTTTCACCTGCTCGGCACCAGGGCTGTGATCAGAACTGACCTCCCGTAGGAGTGTGATGGGCTAGGGATGGACTTGGCCAGTTTGGGGCCATGATGCTGTGCTGCCTCGTGAGTGGAGGGAACGCCAGTGTTTTATAGGAAGATGCAAGGTTTCACCTACTTTGCCATACGGCAGGGCAGAGCGATCGTGATGACATACTGTCTGCAAATAGTTAATCGAGAGAAAAGTACCTTCTAAATAACAGGAAGATTTTAACTGTATGTGTATTTGAAAAGATCACATCTTTAATGTCCATATTCAAAATAATTCGGTGGAACATAGCTGGCTCTCAGTTTTCTTGACCAACGTTCATTTTTACTCATATTTGCAAGAGTTGTTCGTATTCCTTCCTGTGTTTGAAAGGAAAAGCACACAGAACAAGGAAAGATTTTTGGATGTGCTGAAGTGCAACTAACTCTATTGAGAGCTGCTTTGAATGCTTGGGGTAAACAGCAGGGGGTTAGCAGTACTTTTTATTGAATTTGTTACATATAGCTTAGTATTTTATTACTGCATTTATCGACTGTGTGTCTGTTAGCATTCTCCTTGGATATATAAATCATTAATTTGATTTTTTTTTTTTTTAGACCTCATCTAGGTTATTCTGAGTAATTCCAAAAATACCTTTCAGCATGCCTGAAAATCCTGCTGCAGGTATGTGATCTGAAAGGGATGACTTTGGTTAAGCAGTAAGGAACGAAGCGCCGCTCCTAACGTGTACTGCTTTGTGGTGCAGATAAACAGCAGGTGCTGCAGATCCTCGATCGACTGCAAGCAAAACTGCGTGAGAAGAGAGATTCCCAGCACAATGAAAACCTGACTGTTTTGCGTAACACGCTCAGGAGCCCTCTGTTTAACCAGATACTGACCCTCCAGCAATCCATCAAGCAGCTGAAGGAACAAGTGAGTGTAAAGTTACAATTGTCACTGTGATGATAACTGTAGTGAACTTGGAACTTAAACCAGGGGGCGTAGGTGTGTGTTAATGAGGGCGTGCTCATTAATAAGCTGTAACTTGGTGTGAGGCATGTGGGGTTTTTTTGGTCAAGCTAATCTACAGTCACTACTGAAATGAGAAGTGGTATTGCAACAGGTCACAGAGCAACGTGCTTTGAAAGGGGGCAGAAGAGGCAGGCGTTGAGAGCCACATCAGTTGGAAAAAAGCACCTGCAAAAGACATCAGCTGTAGTACTGTGAGTTCTGAACACAGCTGGAACTGGGATCCTTTGTTTTTCACAGAAGCTAAATACTGTTTATCAGCTAACTGGTAGCATCTTTTCTCCTTAAAAGAGATCATCACATAGTTCCAGATTGTTAACCTGTTTTGGGAAATAGAATCTCAAAACCCACCCCTGCAGTTTTGCCAAGCTCTGATGCAGCCCTAGACAAGCTAGCTTTAAAATTACTTGGCTCTAGCAGTGTGGAACTTGTGTGGGTTGGTTTATAATGCCAATTGACACTTGGATCTTGTGGGTATGGACATCAGTGACACATCTGCGTGAAGAGTTCTCACCGTGCAGTTAGTAGTCAGACATGCAAACTTAAAATCAGAGACTAATACATACATACCCTAAGCAGCAGTGATCCCTGTTTCTGCTGTTATTGCACCTGCCAAGCTGCAGATACAGTGGGGTGGAGGGGGTGTCCGGGGCCACCTTGCTGTCATTGCCAAAGTTGCTGTGTGTGTTCCTGCCTGGATGACATGGTAGTGGTTGTGCCATTCGTTCTCCCTTCCATTGCTCACAAAGGGCCTGTCCCTTCCTTGCAAAGCTTGGATGCATGTCTGCAAGCTGTTAAAAATGTATGAAAATGCAGATACATCTACGATCATGCTTTGTGATTGTGGCATGATGGATTTTATATCCAGGATGTTCAGAGTTATCACATCTATATTATTTTTTCTTTACCTTCTTTCTAAGCCTGTCCCTTGCAAGCAGTTTAATTCAGAATCATAGAAGGGTTTAGGTTGGAAAAGACCTTTAAGATCACCAAGTCCAGCCGTTAACCCAGCACTGCCAAGTCCACCACTTAACCGTGTCCCAAAGTGCCACATCTACCATGGGATTTTTCAGTTTAAATGGTGCTTGAGTGCCTCTTTGGTGTTTCTGGAAGATGAGGGTGAAAAGACCGTAATGGGCACAGGCAGGGAAGAAGCTTGAATGAAATGGAGGAGATGAATGGAGTAGAAACACAGCTGAAACCTTCAGGGAACTTTTCCTTCTGAAAAGCAATTTAAACATGATAAGGTAGCTTGGCTAGAGCTTACATTAACACTGCCTGACTCACACAGGTGAGTATATTTGTGTGAATGGGCATGTGTGAACACAGGTATGCTTGCTTCTCTGGCAGTCTTCACACAAGATGAGAAATGTGGAAATCTCTTGGTTTTAATGTTTTTTCTACATCTTTAACAGCTCAATTACATGCCTCCAGACCATTCGGTGGATTTTGATTTTACTAAGAGAGGGCTACTAGTGTTTGCTGACAGATCGGTTGCTGTGGGGAACGTGTATACACCTTGCAGTTCACCTGAACCCAAAGCACCTACCTTCGTTCCAAACCTGGGAGTTAATGAATTTAACGCAATCATCCAACAGATGGCAAAGGTAAGGTGCTCGGGTGTAGTGCACCAAGGGCTTACGTTCCCTTAACATCCAACTTTTTCTTGCGTGCTTTTGGAGTACATTTTCACACACGCTCTTTTGTTGTGGATCTGGGAGTGTGGTGCCTCCTAGCCAGGAAGAGAGTAGAAGTGCTGAGGATAACGTTTCCCTGTGAAGGATTATGTCAGCAATGGAAAGTGGTTTGGGTTTGTTTATTTTCTTTTCCTAGCCATTTTTTTGTTTGTTTTACTTTCTGCCAAACACACCAATGCAGACAAGAAGTTTCAGTAGCCAAAAAACTTGGTTTTGGTATTTGATGACACTGAATTGAGAATGGATATTTTCTGCAGAACCTTGTTTCAGTGGAGAGACTTGTTTTATTAAGTACATTTTATGCTGGAAATGTGCCAACTTTGCTAATATATGAAGAGTGTAAATGATCAAAAGAACTGGCATGTAATATTTATTTAACTCTTCATTTAGTATGTCTTAACTTTGCCAGACAGATGCTGGTTTCATTAACACGTGATGCAGCATGTACCAGATGCTTATGGAAGTTGTACAGGTGCAGACATCCACACATGCGGGATTGGCATTTATACCACAAATGTATTGTTTTGTGTTACTTTGAACCATTAATTTAATTGGTTAGTCATGGCTTTCTATTAAGTAACTGTTGCTAATTGACTACCATAATGTAGCTGTAATATTTTGAGCATAACTCTTCTCATTAGTATGTCATTAACTCATCAGATAAAAGATTTAGCACTAAAGACTGCACATTATTTTGGATAAAACAGCTGTGATAGCACTGCATTCTCTAAGTAATATTTCCCAGTAAACAACTCCAGAAATCTTGTATTAGAACTGAAAAGCAGGCACTTGCAAAAGTAACCTTTTTTAGCATTGTGTGAAGTTGCAAGGAGGGGAAGGAAATTAATTTCTTTATTTAAAAGCTGCAGTCTTTTGAACGCGCACCTAAAATCAGCCTTAAAAGCAAGGGGAGCCAAAAGACAAGTAATTTAGTTTAGCTATGCAGCATTTCCAGAAATCCCAAATATATTGCTCTAGACAGCACTTCGTTCATAGTTTTCATCCAGTTTGGAATTCATCTCATAATGTGAATGAAGTGTGAAAGCAGCTCTTAAATTCCCTGAGGTTTCAGAACCTCAGAGTGCTTGCATATCCAATACTCTGCTATATTAAAAATAATAAATGGAGGAGCTTTTATAGAAATAACATATTCAGTATTTTGCCTTTGTTTAGTCTTAAGAGGAGAATAATTCTCCCAGTGTTCATAAATTTTAGACTAGCTCATTCTGTTGCATTAGAAATTAGTAAATAATTTTTTTCTGTTTTATTAGGGGAGACAAATAGAATCAATAAAGATTGAAAAGCCTTCTGTTGGAGGTCTTGGATTTAGTGTGGTTGCCCTTAAAAATCACAGCCTGGGAGAAGTTGGTATCTTTGTCAAGGAAGTCCAGCCAGGAAGCATAGCTGACAGGTGAGATCTTCATAATTGTATTGGAAAACGGCAGTGTTTCCATGAAGGGAAAAGTCATGACTTTCACATTGAAAACTCTGTCAGAATAACATCTTTGTCTGGATTATCTGGTGGGATATTTTGGTGGTGGTATCTTGAATTCTGGCTTTTCAGCTAAACGGAGTCGTGTTTTGAGGATCAGATTTTCAGATGAGTTTTAAATATCTGAGCCATTCAGAAATGGAATTTCCAGAAATTGTGACTTACGTAAGAGAATCTTGAGTACTGATTAAAAAACAAAAGAAAACTCCAAAAAGAATACAAGGAAAAGAAAAATTAGCCTCCGCTTGAATTTTTGTGTATTGTGTCCCTGAAAGATTCTTTTTTTCCCCCTTGTTTCTTTATTGATGTGTGTATGACAGTGCCCTATTTATAGTTGGGTTTACTGTGTGTTTCCTGTGTAAATTTAGATCCAGTCCTCCCGACAGATCCCTGCACAGATGTCATCATAGAATCCAAGCTTCAGGCAGTTTCTTCCTGTATTGTCTGTGGGTTTTCACCCAACAACAAAAGACAGAGCAATCCGTTAAAAATAAGATGTGATTGTAAAACCACGAGAGTTGGCTTGAGACAAATGCAGTGCTTGGAATTACGTTTCAAGAAAATGTGTCTAGATTTCAAGTCATTGGTGTCACTTTTTAAATAACACATGTCAGGAAGTGCCAACACAGGATGACAAAAAGAGTGGGGAGAGGTTGGAATGATAATGGCTATGGGCCCACAGAGAGCACACCAGCGAACACTTAAAGAAAAGCATATTAGGCGCTTTCAAAGTGGAGACAGATGGACTGATCCGGATGTCAAAGGAGGGTGACTATCTCACTTTAGGATTTGATGACCTGCTGCTCACTTTCTTTGATGAGAGAATCTAAAATATGGTTAGTGCTTGAGGAAAGTGATTTCTGGGAAACATCTTAAACATCGCCTGATAAAGAGGAAGTTTAAAATGCATTAGTTAAGATGCACAGTTAGACTGTTTCAGAGTTTTTATAAATTTTTCCAACATGCTTCCCATTTTGCTTCTGAGACAAGATCTCCTGGAGACTTTTTTGGATTCCTACGGAGCTTTGAAGGCAGTGTCTGTCTATGGAACAGTTTGGTCTCATGCTCAGAATGAATGTTTAACAAAGGAGATGAGTGATGGGTTCTCTTCTTGTCACAAATCTGAATTCATCACTAGGGTGAATCAACTGTGAAATGTGTATTATCTTAAGGTGTAAGTTGAACTGCGGATTGCTCAAAGAATATTTGATGTTTGAACTTGGATACAGTAAATCCTGAGTAAAATATAGATAAATACGCAGCTCATCGATCTTTAGATTAAATAATGATACAAAACAATATCATAACTTGAGTGGTGGGTACTTAGACATAGTACCGTGTAGTGCTGAAGAGAGTAAAGCATACTTCCTACTTCATTGTATCACTACAAAAATGAATTTTTCTGCCCTGTAATTCAACATCATCAAGAAAGGATGAATGATTTTCACTGAATTTTGAATAGGAGCAAAGGAAAAAATTGAGCAAACTGGTGTACTGTTCTCAAGTTGGAACAGCATCCGGCTGGGCAGTTCAGTCCAGTGTGGGTTGCCTGTAGGGTGTGTGGTGGCGAAGACAGTAATAAGCGTATTTTTTTGTCTGTGTGAATGCTTACCCTCGCATAGCTGTGTATTTTGCATGTTCTTATTTAAATCACACAAGCCTGTTACGAAGTCACTGTGCCACGTTTTGAAATGTCTTTTAATGTTTTGTGAAGGGATCAAAGACTCAAGGAAAATGACCACATACTGGCCATTAATTGCACCCCATTGGATCAGAACATTTCCCATCAGCACGCTATTGCCCTCCTCCAGCAATCCACAGGATCTCTACATCTGGTTGTTGCTAGGGAGCCAGCTCAAGGAAACAGCAGAACTTCGTCTGTCTTATTAAGTGATATAAATCCACCTGAGACTGTGAGTTGCTCTAGTGCTGTCAGAATCAGATTTTGAACTATGCTGGATATTTTCTTGTGGTTGTGTTTCTGTTAGAAGCTTTACATATAGGGATTTTTTTCTCTAATCAGATTTTATATGCGATGCAATTTCACTTAGGCTGATCATGCACTAAGTACAAGGCTTCCATTGCAAAGCTGCGTGAAGTTGTTATAAAATAGATCCTGGGTTGTTACAGGGTAGCAGAAGCTTTAGTGGATCAACATATTCTTAGCAGCAGGGTCTGTTCAGCATAGGCAGGGTAAAGTGTTTTACGAGTATACCCAGCTAAAACCTGCTTCTGCTCAGCAATTAAAGATGCCCTGATTACATCTTCAAGGAGCGTAAATGTAACCTATCATGAGCACTGCTTGAAATATCCCAACCGATTTAAAATTAAACTGCTCGAAACAAAAAGCCTTGTCTTTGTTTTGAAAACAAAAAAATACCCATTAAAGAACCTCTCAATCCCAGTTTATTTATCAGTTTGATTTTTTTTTTTTAATCTGCAAATTTCCTTGTTTGTGAAGCCTTTTGTTTGCTTGAACAAGGAGAGATTGTCACTGGGACATGTCATAAGCTTGGGCTGAACCTCCATCTCTGCTCAGTCCATGTGGCTTCACTGAATTTGGTCGGACTGCACACCTAAATGCAGGGTTTGCAATATTGGAATCTTAATTTATTATGCTAGTAAGTTTTGATGAAAATTTGGTTAAGAGCAGTGCTTTTCCTTATTCTCAGTAATTATTTCCCTTGTGATTATTACAGAGCTAGTGAAATCTGAAGGTTTCATTGGATAATCAATATTGTTTATTGCACTGAAAATTTTAAAGAATTAAATTTTAACTGCTTTTTCATTGAAAGATCTGCACTGAACAGACTAACAAAATAAAATACAAATATATATCTCTACAGGGGGTCTTTAAACTTCTTTTATGATATTTAACTGGCTTTGGCAAAGATTTTGAGTATGCTAATAAATCCTTTATTCGCAGAAGACTTAAATCTGCCTACTTTGCTCCATTTTGGTTTCTGTGAGATATTAATCTGACAGAAACATTGGCTGAGTTTGGGTTGCTTAACAGCTTTGTTATTTTCAGATTGTCTTGTAGAACATAAGGTCACGGTACAGCGTAGCTTAGAAACAGGCTTCCAATTCGGTATGGCAGGGTATCGTACGGCGCTGTTAATTCAGCGGGTACTGCTGGTGCTTGGAGTGTGTAAGTGAAATAACAGCAATAAGAATTTGGGCAACGCTAAGTGAAAACGCAAGCTCCTTGCCTGTTTCTTCTCTGTTGTTTGCAGTATTCTAAAAGGACAGCTTTCATTTTGGCAAGAAAATCTTAAAATTGCTTTTTCTTAGTCAGGCTTTTTCCTAGTATCCTGTTATCCTGAAAGTGAAGGACAAAATGTATGTTTAAAAACAGATGAGAAATCCCAGTGTGTATTTATAAGGAAATGAAGCTGACTGAACAGAATTCAACAGATCTCCAATATGTGGAGAGAGAAATTTGCTCTGATTAAGTCTCGTCATTCCTGTGAAAGTGAGAAACATTAAAGATTGACTGAAATTAAATCTCCTGTTTTTATTAATTGCAGATTCACTGGGGCCACGTTGAAGACGTTGAGCTGATTAACGATGGTTCAGGATTAGGCTTTGGAATCGTAGGAGGAAAGTCGAGTGGAGCAGTTGTAAGAACAATTGTTCCTGGGGGATTAGCAGATCGGGTAATTTGTTATATTGTGTCACTTCTTGTTTGATTGTAAAGTATAATTAACTGGTTTTGACAGTCTTAAAATAAACTAATATATTTAAACAAAAGGAAGCTGATAGCATCAAAGTCTGAATGCCAACATATACTTCATAAATAAAAGCTGAAGGTATGATTGAGGAAAAAGTCAGCACCTGATACGAATTAAGTTGTTTCTCAGACATGCTTTGGCTTTTATAACATTGTTGAACATGCAGAAATTCTGAGAAGTTGTGTAACCTTCTCTTTTGGTATTATCAGCCTGTGGTCAGTCTTGGGGAGGACAAATACTCTTAATGGTTTTGCACATCCTCTGCAGAATTTGGCACACTTGGCAACATCTAGAGGGCCAAACTCTCCAAATTAATTGTCAGGCAAGAGAATCTGCCTGACTGAACTAGTTGTGTTGCCAGATTCAGTTTATAGGTTGAAGATGCCCTGTTTTAAAGGGGTTTTATTGTAAAGGGGTTTAGATCCCTGCCTTGCGGTCTGGCCAGTTCAAGGGGGCACTTGGGATCGATGCCAAGTCTTCTGAAGTTACTGATGCCTTTTAAAGTTGCGCAGGTACGGTTTGCAGCCTTTGCTAATATTTAAAGACACAGTCCTAAGTGTTGCTACATTTCAGGAGTAGAACATGTGCAACAGCAATGCAGATTGGGATTTTTAATGTGAATTTGGTCGTGACAGGTTAGAGTATTTGAGGTCTGGACCTCATGCAGACAAGATCCGGTGACGTACAAAGAGAGAGGCTTAGGTACTTCCTCTGGTATAGGATGGAAAGGAAAACTGGGGATTCTGAGAGCTTTACCAGAAAATGTTGGCTTTTGCTTGATTACCTCCCTCTGAACCTGTCATGTATAAATGAGTATTTTTTAATTATTGTGTAACACCTGTTTTGCTGTAAGGAATAAAGTGGTTTGGCTACAAATGAAGCATGTAAGTTAAGAACTCACCACATCATTCTCTGCTGAATGAGACATCATTAAGAACATGTGAAGTAATGAGCACATATACATGTTAAAATTGGATGAGTTTGTAAATGAGTTTGAGTTAGTCCTGGGAATAACTGCTGTGATTGCTGTATAAATCAGTGCACCTAAAGTGGTGGAGCTGTGCTGATCAATACCAGCTGAAGACTTGGTCCTATGAATGCTTGCTTGGAATAGAAATGATGATGTGGGTCATGAATCATAATTATCGTGCAAAAAAAGGTTTGTGTGGAGTCTTGTTACCTTCAGTGGATTTGCTCGCTCGAGTTGGAGCTAGTCTTATCAGGAAAGAATTGCCAGGCTAATATAGAAGTATTAGGAAAAACTCTAAAAAGTCCTAAATCAAAATGCTGTGCTTTTTATTGTATCCCTGATCTGGTGCGCAGCATTCTGTGGAACAGCAACGCATAACAACCTGCGAGATTATAAAACATTCTTATCCTCTGCTTTCTCCTGAGAAAAGTGACTAATTTCTCAGGAATAGTGCTATTCAACCTGTGTATCTTACTCAGTTTTGAAAGGTTGATTTACTAGTTAACTGCTCTGGAAAGAAAAGTGCATGATTGTGCAAACACTTCCCTGGATTATTTAGTATCTTGGTGTGGTGGTCCATGCTACGGTATTTTCTTACATTGGCTCTCATGGCCATGGAGATGCCTGTACCCAGTTTCAGTTTTGTAACAGAAACATTATTTTATGTGTAGACTATCAACAGTTTTTCAATTTTATTTATGTTTGAAGGATGGGAGACTCCAGACAGGAGATCACATCTTACAGATTGGAGGGACCAATGTGCAAGGAATGACCAGCGAACAAGTTGCCCAAGTGCTGAGAAACTGTGGGAATTCTGTTAGGATGATTGTTGCAAGAGACCCAAAGTGTGAAATTATGGAGACTCCGCCAGCTCCTGTGGGCTGGCCAGTCGGTACAGCACCTTCCTTTCCCAATGGCAGTGTAAGTATCTGCTGTTTACTTATGACGTTTTTAAGTATGGTTGTGGCTTGTGATCAGAAAGGAGGAGGAGAACAGAGTGTTCTTGAGACCTAAAGTGCTTCTCCCTTGAGTTTCCAGATACCATATGGGTGTATTTAAGTGGTCATTATTATAGCCCTGCTTTCTAAGATTTTTCCCTTTTTCCTGTATATTATTAATACCTATAATCTTGGGATTGGAATGACCAGCTTTACAGAATTTATTTCAGAATGGATAATGTAATTACTAAGACCATAAACATTATCAATAAATGATACTTTTAGTTCTCCTTCTTAGCTCGTTACATTTTTGCTAATCAATCATTGGTAAGTGGATTTAAAACTTGACTCTGAATTTCCCTAGTCTGAGATCCAGAGCGCCATGGCCACACCAGAATTATTCAGCACAATCATCTTTCTATGAAACATAAGTGTAATGTTTTCATCGTCTACGCTACTGTCTGTGATAGGAAATATATCTAAAAATTTTGAAACTTGTTTTAGCAAATCTTATCATGGTCATATCAAAGTCTCTTGTTTTTGAAGTCATTCTTTTCAGTTTTGAGTAATTAAAATCAACAAATGCTACACTAAGTGTACAGTAGGTCTCGAAACATAAACAAAGCTGTGCTTGTGTACCATCTGCTGCTACTGTGCTGCTTAGATTTAGGTGTAGAATCTGAGTAGCCTTTTCTTTCTTGTCTAGTTTTTGAATATGAGTGAAGAGCACTATATTTTTTTTTTTTGAAGCACCAGTTTGAAGGGTCAGACGAGCAGTCGTATAGTTACGAACTCACCTCACTTGCTGGGGATAGCCACTGCAAAGGCAGCCACTGGCTGTGTCCTGGATCTCTCCGGAAGGCTACTGTGGCTGAGGCTGCCAGTAAAGTATTTTGGGTCCTTCTCCAGCTCCACTTCTCAGAAGAGGCGTTGGTGTAGTCGGAAACATGAGTGGCAGAGAGATGGGAGTGGGTAATCTACGTACATGAAGTTGGAGTCTTAAGGGTGGGCTTGTCTGATACTCTGAAAAGACTCTCCTAGACAATCAGCATTGTTCGGAAACATTTCTTTCTGTCTCTATCATATTTTCCAAGGCTCATATTAGGAAAAAACAACATGGTCCTAGTTTTGTTTCTTCTACAAAGTATTATTTTGCTCTCTTCCTGCCTCAAAAGCAGGCCTGTTTGTCACTAATTGACCCCGAGCATTGTAGGTGCTGCAGCCTTTGTAAAATGTTATTCCTTCAGGATGTCTTTGCAGCGTCCTCCACATTCCTGCCGTGTAGCTTAGAGGGAAAAAAAAATCACACTGCAATTTCATTTGCTCATTTCTGAATGTCATCTATTGTTTTCTGAGCTAAATAGTGCCTTCATATTTAGCTATGAAGAAACTCTTCTTTCTGGTGCTAAGAGAGATCTGCTGAACTCAAGAATAGCAGCTAATCTGAACGTATTTATTAATTTAATGATGATTTTAATGGTCCACTTTTCAGTTGGTATCTGATTTACAACAGGACTTTCTCCTGTAATCTAATTTCTCTCTGGTTTCTGCGTGCTTTCGCTAGCTGTGAACTTTGGAATACAAAATATTTTCCTTCTTTTTTGCAAACCAGCAGAAAGGCATTTTTAATATATGGTTAGGGGTTTTTCAGTTTTATATTAATATTTGATTTCCTCTAAATTTCCTCTAGCAGAGAATAACTGAAACTACTTGTGCCTGTGCATGGGCACGAGAAAACAGTGATGTTAGCTGTACTCTCCACAATACGATGTTAGCAGCCCGCTTGTGCTGACTGTGTTCAGGACTCTGCACTCTGATTTTTCCAGACTCCACTTCTAATGTTTTGCATTCTACCAGAAACATTACTTAGAGAAAATTTCTGTAGCGCCAGAGCAGTGACTATGAAGGGCTATTGTTTTGTTAAAATAGCAGAACTCTCAAGGCCGTAGCTTAATTTTAGATGTTACTATAGGCCTGTTTACTGTTTTGGTTCCCTCTCCTAAAGATAAGTGACAGAGCATCAAAGCTTATCTTCATCTCCATCAGTGTCTTGTGGAGCAAGAGAGTTGGAAAGCATTTAATGATCTTAATGAGTTGGCAAGTGGAGGGAGGTGTGTGTGATAAGGAAGGAGATAGCTGTCCATCGATTTCTCTTCCAGTGAAAGCGAGGTAGGTACGACCCTAACTTTGGCCTGCTTTTAATATAGGTCCTTCCAAAGCTGATATTTGGGAAGCATTTGATGAAACTTCTTTCCTTCACTCTTAAGAAATGTTTCCCAGTTTCCTGGTCCGTTTTTTGTTGTTGGCAGTGACACTATCCCACTTGATTGCATCACTTTAACAGACCTTACTCTGATCATCATCTTTTTGATCTCTTTGGGCTGTATCTGATTACAGAAAACAACTAGCGCTATGCTTTTTAATTTATCCCTTGCAATCCCAGTTCTGTGTGCTTGATTATTTTTGTCTTTGGTATCACCAGTGTGTCCTGCTTGAACTCTGTCATGCAGTTGTGATTTTTACTTGCCAGAGTAGCATGGACATGCTGAGGCCAGCCTTGTGGGGAGCTTTTTCTCTACACTTCTCTGGTGTAAGGTCGGATTGTATGGTAATCTTAGCTAGTGGCTTGTGTGGGTTTTTGGTAACTGTAGTAAGCGGGGGGTTTGGAGAACAGGTCATGTTATGTGCTTCTCTTCTCAAGTGTTGTTTGTTTTGAGAAGTTGTCTTACCGGTGCAGCAATGAAGACTCTCCCTTCCTCTGTTACATCTTAAAATAATTTTCATTGAATACGAACTGAGTGTTCTGCTTCCCATTGCCTTAGACAACCTGGGGGCTTCCAGTGCTCTCTGCAGTTTGGTGGCGTTCAAATCTGAACTGGTTCATGTCGAACGTATTAGGCTGATGTGTGTAAGATTGACTTCAGAATGGTTTTGTGGTTTGAGATCTAGCATAAAAAACAAACAATGAGCTCAAGCTCCTAGCCAGTCTCCCACATCTGCATTGATGTAGGCAACGGATTCTGCCCGAGGGATGTGTATACGCGCGGCTTCTTTCAGTTCAGGGCATCGAACCTGTTTCTGTTTTGAGATCCCTCCTGCTGCCCTTCGCTTCTTTAGCAGGTGATAACAAGGAGAGATAAGCATCGCGTTTTCTGACAGAAATGTGTGCTGTGCGAAGACTCTGTATTTATACCAGGGTTTTTTTGCTGCTTAACTGTCCGGTAGAAAGAGCTCAGGCAGGTGGATTCATGACACTCTTCATGAGGACTGATGGAGGACAGGGAGGGGAGATATTCTGAGGGCACTCAGGGTTTCTCTTGTCTTTTGGGATTGACTGGGATGCTTGTTGTTACCAAGTGGCAGTGGAATCCAATGGGAAATGGCCCTTGAGGAGTCTACCGAAAACCTTTGTTTTTCATAAAATATAAATATTACTCCTCTGACAGGTATGTGGAGAAAGAATTAGGAAAGAATTTAAAAAGTAACTAATGACTTTGGGTGACACCTTATTTTCAGTGTATCTTGGGTATATGTCTTTTGCAGATGTGATTCATTCTAAAATAGGAAAGTCAAAATCACTGCTCACTTCTGAGTATCTTAATTAACCTGCAATATCGTAATGGTACTGGCAAGTTGAGGTTTATTTTTTTTACTGTCTTGTGCTTTATTCATAGGATAATACCAACCTTTTTGAGACCTATGATGTTGAACTTCTAAAAAAGAATGGGCAAAGCCTGGGGATAACAATTGTTGGATATGCTGGCACGTGTGATGTAGGTGAGTTCTATAGGATTTAGTAAAGTCTAGGACAAAGGCTTCTCAAATACCCCTTATTTATTGTGGGGGGAATGGGTAGCGCTTCTTTGAAAGAACATAACTTACAAAACCTCTGCAGGAGATAGTTGGAGATCTTGCTGCAAAGTGAAATTCAGCCTCAAAAATCTTTGGAGTTGTAATTAGCTGAAAAAAAAATTCCCTCTTTCTGCTGGTCTGCGTTTTACATGCTTCTGCTGTTATTGTGCAAAACACTAAACTGACAGACGGTTCCTGCTCGTACAGACTCTGCCCACAGCGTTCTTCAGTTTGCCCCCGTGGGTAGACCACAGTTCGGATAGTGCATTTTAAGAAGAATTTTGGTAATGGATTACTGGATGATCCCAGTTCGCATTAACTTTTGAATGGCATCTTCAGTACGTACAAAATAGCTCAACATGCAGCTTCCGTTTGTTTAAGGAATTGTGGGTGTCGGGGTGGAAGTGGTCCCTCAGACTAACCAGCCCATCCCTCTGCCAGGCAGGAGATGCTGGGAGCCGTAGCTGTGCGTGGTGTGCACATCACCTTCACCGGATGCGCTTGGCTTTGGCAGATGGCTGTGCCAGTGTCAAAACTCTGGGAACAGAGTAAAATACCTGTGCTAGGATATGGGACCATGGAATCAGTTGGGTTTTTTTCTAAATGCTCTTTAATTTAGACCTGTTGACTCCTCTTTCAAATATTGGTTCCACAAATCATAATTTCTTTAAAATTGTCTGAACTGAATATCTGGTTTTACACCAAGGGGTAGTGCTTTTTTGCCCTTCCCCTTCCTCCCAGGAGTCCGGAAAGTATTCTGGGAATGTGGTGCAGCTGGGGTTGCTCTCCAGCCCTCTTCATTTATAGGAGATCCTCTTGTGCTGCACCAGGCCAGTGCAGTGAGCACTGGGAAATGGGCTGGGGAGGAGCACGTGCCGGGCAATGGGAATGTTTGCAGCACTGGTGGAGGGGTTTTGCTGAGAATGGACAAACCCCGTTGGGCAGCTGTCTGTATTCAGGAAAGGATGGAGGAAGTGTCAGAAGTCCCTTGCATTAAAGATCAGGGAAGGGTTATTGTTTCAGTTGATGGTTGGGTCTTTTACTGGTTTTTGCGGGTTTGTTTGTTTGTTTTTATTTCCTTGTTGTATTTAGAAGTTAGAATTAATAATCAAATGTCAAACATGACGAAGGACAGCTTTTCTGATTTCCATGTTTCTTTTATTTTTTTTTTTGAAGAAAAATCCTTTTTCATTAAGATTTCAAGTACTAAATTCTTTAGCTCTAAGATGATTGAAGGTCCTGATCAGAGTGCTTAACCACATACTTTAATTTGTGCTTGGGTACTTATGTTGAAATCAAATGCAGCATGGGTTTAAGTGATTGTGGTTTAAAGCCTGGGTAAGCACAAGAATGAAACCATGGAGGAGGTGGCCTTTTGTGAGCCATTTTAAGGAAAAAAATTTGAGGTCAGTGTACAGGTGCTGTTTTTTCCATCGAAGATCCTCAGTTGTTCTATGTCAAGCAAGCTGTGTGAGTGGTAACATGCAAACGTCAGTGGTTGACAGAATCATAGCTTTGTGGATAGACGTGGTGGAAAAAGGCTGTAACTAAAAATCTTAATAAGAAAAGAAACAAATTAGGTTAATGTAGTGACTTGTTTCTCTTCCTTCCCTCCCCCTGCCAACAGAACCTTCAGGGATTTTTGTGAAAAATATAATACCTGGTAGTGCTGCTGACCACAATGGCCAAATTCATGTTCATGACAAAATTGTTGCTGTAAGTAAAATACTCTGCTTATATATTCTTGTAGAACTCACACTTGATTACACGTCTTGGTGTTAAAAGAACTGCATAGTAAAGACTTTGTAAAATTAATTAAACCTCCTCTGCTTTGCTGAGGAAATAATTTGGTGGTTCCTGTTTGTTTAGGCAGGTTTGTAACAGAAATGAGCTTTGGCTTGCTGTGGTTGAAATATTATTTTATATTCCAAGAAGTAGTAAATAGTAGTTAACTAGGAAGGAGGCAAACATTTGGATTAAAATGTCTCAGAGTGGAGAATCTTGGCGTTTGGCCTGAAGTAAAGATGAGCAGCATTAGCTTCTATTTGAATTGAATGGGGTTTGAGGATGGTTAAGATTTTGCAAGATGTGGCGCACTGTTAATGACTGCGTAGCGTAGTGTGGATGCAATCAAAATGTTAATAGTCGCAATTTAGGTTTAAAAACCCAAGCCTCATGTCTAGAAACATTAAAACCCACTGAATAACTGAACTGAATAATAGCCAATTTTGCATTCGCAGCACAAGCAGGAATCAATTACACAGTCTTTTTGTTTTAAGAGATAATATTTATAGAGATATGATTTTAAATTACTTTTAAATGTGTGCTATATCAGACCTTCCAAAGTCAGCTTCTCCTTCGTGAGAGCAAAAATTGACACAACCTTGTGCTTTTATCTGCAGCTTTGCAGGAGAAGCCCCTATTGATGCGTGATCTAACAGTGAGGTGAACAGAGTGTTTTGGGTGTAAATTAAAACATCTGAATTCATGTAAGAACGGGGCTGTGCAGAGTGGATTATACAAACGTGTATAGACTTGTGTGGGGCATGTTAGAAATCCGCGAGAACACTAACGGTGATAATGAACTCTGAGTTCTAGGTTGGCTGCTCTTGCTGGGAAGCTTTACCCACTGTACTCCTCAAGCTGGATTTCGTCAGCAGAACAATATGTAGGGGGAAATCAGTGCACACTTAGATTAGTAAATTCTGTTCTGTGGTTACCCCATGAAGACAGAAGAAATTACTGTTGTGTTTCCTTTTAAAATGTGTTTTGCAAATATTATCTAGTTAGTGAAATGTAACTGATTTAATGGGATTGTTTTGCAAATAGTACTGTCTTGGGTGAATAACCCTATAATTTCTGCCTAAAATAATGTGGATGTTGTTTACAGTGTATGGTACAGCCTAAGAATGTAATGTGATTACTATCACACGACATGATTTTCTTGTTTTAGGTTGATGGAGTTAATATACAGGATTTTAGCAACCAAGAAGTGGTAGAGGCGTTGCGTAACACAGGACAGGCTGTACGCCTTACCTTACTTAGAAGGAAACCTTCTGCTGTTTCTTCAGAAAGACTTTCAGATAGAGGTAATCCCTTTTTTTTTAATCTTTTTCAGCAACTGATTTTGTTTTTCTCTTAATTTACAGTTAACCTTTCAACAATTAGGAGTAGGTACCACACATTCCTAGAATTTGTGAGGGCACGCTGCAGAAAATGAGATACTTAAGGAGGAATAGAATGAAACAAATGAGGGATTTGGGAAAATTGAGTGCAAAACTCCTGTGTAGCAAAAAACCATAGTTAGTGAGGTGGTGTAACTACTTCATCTATTTTGCAGCATCTGATTTATTTGTTTTTCACATTATTCACTGTTTTTCACAGTGCAGCCAACTGTTCCAACCTTTGTGTTCCGAGGAGCTGTCGGGACTGAAACGGGTGTGGACACTAAGGATGAGGAAAACCAAGATCAGAAGGATGATCTTCCAAATGAAAAGAAGCAGACTCTACGTAAAACAGGTGGATAGGATGTCTTGCAGCTTCTCTTCTGAGTCTTTGGAATTGTCTTTGATCCATTTTCAGTACTGATGGGCTCTGATGGTTTTCTCCACCTTTAGCTATTGCACCCTAGTGCATTTTGTTCAGTGGTGGAACTTCTCTGCATACAATATTTTCTTCTTCTACGGAAGCAAACACTACCTCTGTAGTCAGCTCCTGACTGGGTTACCTTGTGTCACAGCCTGCAGGTGTCTGCTCTGATACAAAGAGAACGTTCTGAGGAATTTTTTACCTAATACCTAGCGCTGTGCAAGTGTGGTATATCCGTAACCGGATCAGTTTATGCTGGGGACTAAAATTGCTTTTGCTTGCTTGACGTTAACAAACACTGTTAGTCTCAAGGTGTGTTATCTAGATATGCCTCAGCGATCCCTGTGCTGCTGCTAATCAGCTTGGATCAAACTGTGGTTTTGAGCCCTTTTCATAGCAGACCCAAACTGCTTTGGTGTGGATCCACTGCCTCTCCAGAAATACTCCAAAGCCCTTAGTTTCAGAAGGAGTTTGTAACCAAGTTATATCTGTACGAGTGGCTCCCCTTCAATTCTGGCACCATGGAAACCTTGTAATCCCCTTCCTTGGAGCTTTGTGGAGTATGGTGCAGGTGTACCTGAGGCTGGCAAGGACTTCGTTGCCTGGAATCCATAGCTGCCAGTTGGACCTCTGCGGATTCCGTGCAGGGGCATTGTGGTGTACCTGCACTGCAGTTCCTGGTGCATCATGCAGTGAGGGTACTATGAGATACTGCTCTTCTCCCATGTATCCATGCTCCCCGTGCCCTGGAGAACACAGGGTAATGTGTTTGGATGCACAGTGTGTCTTGGGATGCCAGAATATAAACACGGAAAGATAATGTTGGATGCTGCCCTTGATCCCATCTAGCAGTGCTGGTCTTCCTTGTGCCAGCAGGATAATGCAGTGGGTGTGGCTCTGAGACTGGGTCACGAATCGGGAGCAGATAACGCCAGGATAAGCAAGTATCACTGCTTGATTAAACTGGGGTTTTTTGTGGTGAAAAACCACTTTAAGCGACAAGGTTCTGCAAAAGTTTAGGCAGCTATAAAATGTGTGGATGTCTCTGGTAAAAAGTTGAAATACTTAGTTGCAAATTTTACTCCCACTGAAATACAATGTTTAAGATTTCACGTGGAATAGAATTTAATGGGCAAGTTTAAATTCCAAAGATAGGTGTTTATTTTGGACATGGTGATGGGCACTTTGTTATAATGGTGCTAAAGTAAATAGTGCTAATTTAGGGCCCTGCCTAAACTCTGGAAATGCTTTTAAAAGTTTAATGGAAAAGGTATGTTTTATAAAATAGGTATTACTTCCCTTGAAGCCCAGTTGTGTGAAATTCTTATTAACTTGTGTTTCCTGGAGAGGTATTCAACAGTCATTCTGGCCTGGCAAAACCGTGCTTAAGCAGTTCTGTTGCAAAGGCAGCACAGTTTAGGATGCAGTGTGCACGAGGCCTGGTACATTCTGCTCGCAGACGAGAAGCAATTAAATTGACAGCTGCAAGACTGCAGACTGGGCAGAACTGCTTTCTTCTGCCTCGCAGCAATAGGCGGAACCCGAAGATACAATGATGCTAGTCAGGCGCTTAAAGGCTGGGGAAAAGTGTCAACAGTAGGGCAGAAAAAGGTGGCACTTAAATGGAGAGCGCTTGAGCCCAGGTAACATCTCGTATACCGAGTTGTGCTTGCAAGGTCATCCCAGTTTTGACCAGGAAAGATGATTTTTACGACACACTTGTGGTTTATTCTTGGTGCTTGCTAATTAGAAATTAAAAACTGTATGGAAGTGCAGGCAGAAGGACAGAACAAATATGCTGAGAGTTGTTGCTAATGAAAGCTGTCCCTGGGAAGCATTTTCATTTCTGAGGCCTTGCCACAGAATAGGAGACATGGTATGAGTCTCAGGTCATGAGAAATCCAGCTGGATGAGAGACTAGAAAGAAAGTTCCTATTAGCTGCCATGTGGAAAAAGCTGTCTGGGGGAAAAGGAGCATTTTAAGTGAATTAGGTAATACCATTAGAACTGAATATATTTAATCCAAATCCCTCCAGCCAACATTTCCACAGTTCTGAGGAAGCTACAAGCAAAGACTTCAAAGTGCATTTGGAAGAAAGAAAGGGGGAAACTTCAAATGGACATGTGCATCAGCACCTGCTCTGAACAACTCATAGATTTTGGTAATGTGTTTTGGAAGTGACAAAAAAATCTGTATTCAGCCAACTGAACGCAGCTTACAGTTACTGAACTGAACTTTGAGCTTGACCCTAAGATTTATTGCTCCTGGTGAACCTTGAAGTCTGTATTTGGCTGCGCAGGGGATTGCAGGTGCTTAGGTCCTGCATGTTCACGCTGTAACTGTGAGAAACTAAAGAATTTCTGTCCCTATCTATTTCTACAAATAGGAGGTGTAGAAAAAGGCACTGGTGTTCTGTATTTGCTATAGTTGGGAAGAGACAGTGATCAGCCTGTGCTTGATAACAAGGTTCATGAAGATGACTTCTCTTAAAAACCTCAGTTACATTCAGTGGAGGAAATAAACCCCCTTAACTCACAGCTGAGAATTTCAGGACAGTTTGTCTTCCCTTTTTTAAAGGGCTTATTTATTTCAGAGAGGGCTGTGGGCTGTATTTACAAACCCAAGTTTTTATTCTTGGTGGGGTTTCTTTTTGGTGACAGAGTTGCTGGAGTCCTTGGATACCTGTATCTCCTTGAGCCTGTCGGTTAGAGATGCTCTGGGTATTTCCAAGTGAATCTCAGTTGATAGGTGCTGAGGAAGGTGGCTTCTCAATGCAGAGCAGCCAGAATGTGCCTGTCTGGCATGACAGAAAGCGAGTGGAAGAGATAGAGTGATGGGTTATATTGTTCTCTAAGTTACCTTAAAGCTTTGTTTTTAATGAGCGGAAAACTTCAAAGTTATAGAATGACATCATGAGGATTGTATTGCAAAAGGTGTTGAAAGCAGAGGCAGCTTAACATCCCATTTAGGCTGGCTTTTGCTAGTACGTAGGCTCTGAGCTTCTTGGTGTCTTCAAAATTTCCCCTTGAGGTATTTGACTCGATAGTTTGTGTGCAAAACGCAAGGTTGCGATTTACATTCTAAATTTCAGTACAAGACATCAGCAATACTAAGTGGTCTGTGCCTTGTCTAGACATCTGACAAACTATTACAGTCGTTCAGGGAGGGGAAAAGGCAGTTTTCGGTAATTCAGACCCCAGTTGCTGCTGCTGTAGCTGCTAGATGGAATTTGCTGTGGAGCTTGATTCTTACCAGTTAAACATTGCTCCGGCTTGGAACTTTATATGTGCGCTGAGCTTCTGGATGAGGTCAAATGCAGGGCAGCCAGTCATTTTATGCTGTCTAGCTCTGTCAAATTGTCTTACATGAATGTAATACTGCCTTGGTTGCATAAGTAAGAAAGCTGAAAAGATATAAATGTCAAGATAGCCAAGTTCCCACGGAAGACTGGTTTAGAACTGGAGCTTATATTAAAGCTCATGTTACTTACTGGCCTAATTAAACTAGACAAGCCTTTATACCTGCCAAATGTATAAATAAAGCCTGCGACTGCATTGTGCTGACGCAGCCCCTCAATAGCAGCAATATCTTGTCAGGTGTTACTTCTCAAGGGGGTTCATTTTGGTGGGAGGTGATCTTCCCTGGAGTGGCAGGCATTTTTCATAGCAACAAATTATGAAGTCGTGCAAAACTTGTGTTGCAGCCTGAAAGAATGATTTATTTACAGTACTGTGTGGTGCAGAACTCGCATCTCATCAATACGAGCATCACCTCTTCTGCTTCTCCGTTGAATAAATCACACGTTAGCAGTACCTGACATTTTGCATTGTTTTCCTAAGAAAGACATTTTTGATTTGCACTGTTTGATAGACTCGGCTTAATGCACTCTCCTCTTTGGAATTATTCCCTCTAATCTTTTATTTACACTGAGTTTTTATTGAAGTGTTTAGAAGTAAACGTACTTCTGAATGTACAATATGCTTGTGAATTTAATATTCACTTTCATATTTAGGAAGAGGCTTGCTCCCTCCAGCACATGAGCTGAAATCCAAGTGGGAAAAACTGCTGGGACCTGAATATGAAGTTATGGTATGTTATCTTTCAATAAACGACATTGATGTATGTTATTTCTTTAAATTACAGATCTGTGAGCTTAGCATTACAGGCTGTTTACAGAACAGATCAGTAACATCAAATTTTGGTTCCCGTAACATCAAGGCTGAGATATGGAAGTGTTATAATGAGTTGTGGGGATTTTGGGTTTTTATCATTTGGTTTATATAGATACTGTTGTTACACAGGTACTAGTCAGGAACAGTGATTTAAGAAAATCAACTGTCCTTTTAAATCTGCATCATAGCAGCCACTTAAAATATGTGACATTTCTATGATTTCATTTACGATCTATTTCTTTTACTGTGCACTGAGAAAAAAGGCTCAGGACAGAGCTCCTGTGTTTCATGAAGAATCTTACAATTTTATTAGAATGAAAGAATGATTTTCTAAGGTGCTGGGAAAATAGGAAGTAATTCACGGTAGTGTAACTTTGTGGTGCCGGTGTCTGTTAGATATTTCTTCACTTCACATCAAATAATAGCCAAGCAAAAGATTGTTTTGAATCGTCATAAGGAATTGACTGAAATTGTAATTCACTTCTGCTTTTCAGTGCTGTGTTAGCCAGTGAGTACAGATAAAAGACTCCAGCCAGTGTTCTTTCCGAAGGCTTAAAAAATCCTCACCACCACCAAGAAAATGCCCTGTTTGTCTTTGCAATGCTTGTCCCGTTGATTTAGAGACACTTATTTTTACTACTTGGAGTAGCCGTCGTTCCAGTCACTCGCTGGAAGATTTAAAGTAGCTTTAAGAATTGCCTTGAGAAACTCGCTTCTCCTCTTTCCATTAGCACTCCTTTAAGATCTGAAGTTCGTGGAAGATTATGTACATGATGCAATAAATCTGCTTGGCTGCCCACTTCAGTTGCTTGGTATTCCCATCCTTACATTTCAAGAGTCTGATATTACTTCCCTTAGCACTATCACACTTCCCGCAGAGGACAAAAACCTGCTTAGTTCGTGAAACCGTCCATTTCTAATTCTTCTTCAGCTGTCGCCAGTAAAATGTCAGGAGTGAAAATGTTCATGATTGGTCCTTTTAAATAATAGAAGAAAAGTGTTCATAGAATCACAGAATGGTTTGGGTGGGAAAGGACCTTAAAGATCATCCATGGGCAGGGACACCTTCCACCAGACCAGGTTGCTCCAAGCCTCATCCAGGCTGGCCTTGGACACTCCCAGGGATGGGGCATCCACAGCTTCCCTGGGCAACCTGTTCCAGTAAAATGGGGTGTTGTGGCACTCCATTTTGAAAGTCGTTTTTTTGGTTCTTCCAGTTCTTCTTGTCTGTACCTACATCTGGTCTTGCTCGGCTGGGTTCGCTAACAACGTGTAGCTTGATTTCAGCCTGTCCCTGTTTCACGCTATCCTCACCCCTACACTCACCTCCCAGAAAGTCACCCTGAAGGTGCCTACAGCTTTGGGTGTTCCCTCAGAAGTAGTTTGCTGTTTGAAGGGAGGGTTTGGTGTCACTGATGGCTCCTGTGTTGCTGATCCTTTGTGGTGCCCATGGAAGGAGCTGAGATCCTGCTGACACAGGAGACTCTGGAAGTCTGTCCAGGGATGCATGGCTGTGTGCTTTTTGTTGCCAGGTGCCTAAGCGTGAGCAGTCAAGCTGCGGAGTTATCAGTCATAGATTGGTGTAGTTACAACTGAATGGACATGAAATGGATTCTCTCTGTTGGGAAAAATACCCTGGGTACAGGAGCACAAGATGCTGGAAGCCCTATTTAAAATTAAGACCAAAGAAAAAGCTGAGGCTTAGTATTGTTTCACAGATACTTTGTTAAAACGGAAATTTCCAAAGGAGCCTGTAGTTACCTGGTTTTTGCAAGGCTGTGTATTTTCCAGATCTAACAAGTGTAGCAATCCTCCCAAACAACTTCAACTTCAGTGTCCCCGTCTCCAAGCCTAGGCCATAGATCACCACAGCTGTCATCTTACATGTTAAAGCTGGAGTAAATAACCTTCTGAGGTTACAGATAAATAAGTTATATTAAGGAAGAAAGTCACAAGAAAACTGGTGGTGAACATAGTGCTTTTATTAATATAAAAATATGAAGATATAGTGAAGGGATTTCTTGTAACACTTTTAAATAATGCACTTTGCATTCGGGTTTGGTAATTAAACCCATGCATTTCGAGCCGTGTTAGAAACATTCTGCAGAAGGTGATGGTTCAGCCGAGATGTTAGATGGCTGTACTGTAGCCTGGAATAATAACTTAAGCTATCAGACTTTCCAAATTCTGATTGGCAAGGCAGTTTGGGTATTTGCGTCCAATGTAATGGCATTTTGGGCTTATACAGGATTACTGAACTTGACTAAAATTGGCACTTGGGCTTCGGGAATAGGACAATATTGGAGTCTGCTAATAGTGCATAATCACCACATTCCTAGCTGTAAATGTTCTGTGTCTGAAAAAAAGTTCTAACATTTGTTTAAAATTATTTTGCATCCATGTGACTTTGTTTAAGTACCGTTTATTTTGATCATCATATTTTTTTACCAGAGTTCATCACTCCGCTAAAGTCTTTATTGTCCTGCTATTGAAAAATGTTATGATGTACAATTTCTAGGTTGTGAATGTGGATATGTCCATTACAGATGATTCAGAGCTGCAGAAGTACTCAAAGGTATGACTTGCTTGATGGTTTCTTCATGGCAAGAGCTGAAGTTCATTTCTGTCTTTGAGACTTTTGAGAGATTTTCAAGATATGTATGTTACTATTATGCAGAAGAGGTTTGCGGAGGTGATGCATTTATGTACTTGTGGGGATGTCTCAGTGAAGAAAGGCCATAAACCCATAATTAGACTTGCGTGTGAGGGAATATTGAGGATCAATGAAGGTATTGCTCCTTTTACTTGAATATCCAGAATTAATTGGGAACCAGGAGGGCAGTCAAGAGTTTCAACTCTGAGCCAGAAAATGGCCAAACAGAAGGAGCAGATACTGCTGACCATCTCTTCTCCCCAAGTTGCCATGATTTCTGCTGTCTTGCCTGGATAGCGTGTTAGTTCTATGCTGGTCTTTCCAATATTAGCAGACCTAAGACACGAATGGTTGGAGGCTCCCTGGAGAAAAATTCTGAATTAAGGAGGCCCACTGGGAAGAAGCTAGCAGAAAATCAGTGATTTCACCTTGCAGAAACAAGGGTGCAGGTAGTATTAGCTGTTTGCAGAGGACACTTCATTTTTCCTGCCTCCAAGCAGTTCACCTCCTAAAGGAGTAAGACAGTTGATCTTGTGATGCGTTTTCATGGTGATCATGGAATTTCATTCAGTTCTGTTGAAAGCTCACCTTCTGGGTATGGTAGACTCTAGGTAGTACTTCCCTCTGCATTTTTTTCCAATATGGTGATCTTAGTTAAGAATACAGTTCAAGTGGCCTTTTCCCCTAAGGGGCAGATCGGTTGTTCTTGGCTGTACAAACAGTTTGTACAAAGAAATTATGGACACTTGTGCTGTAATGCAGGTGATGCCAGTATGAAGACTTGATCGTCTTACTGTGTGCTTACGTTCATTTTGGTGAGGTACTGAATGCTAGATGTGCCTGTATTGTGGCAGGTGAAGATACGTACGTTCTCAACCATCCTTCTCTTTTGGCAGCTCTTGCCCATCCACACTTTGAGATTAGGAATTGAGCTTGACACGTTTGATGGGCATCATTATATATCATCCATTGCTTCAGATGGTCCAGCTGCAACACTTGGTCTTCTGCAACTGGAGGATGAGCTCCTGGAGGTAAAAACCAAACCAACACACCTCCCACATCCCCCCAGAACAGAACTGATGTATTTCCTGCTTGCTTAGCCTTCTTAAAAATGCTTTCATTTGTTTTCTTCACTGTTTCATCCCTCCTTTATGGACTAAATGTCAAATTCTTGTCGCCTGTCTGACTTCTTGGATTTTTTTTTTTTCAGAAGTGTTTTAACACGAGTATCAAGAGTCATAAGGGCAGAGATAATATTTGTGTTGAATGTATTTGTATCTGTAGTCCTTTAGCTCACTGTTGTGAGCAATTTGGCATTAGCTTTTGTGGTGGGTAATCTTTCTTAATATTTGTCACTCCTAAAAAATTTACAGCAGCCTCAGGAATAGTGGTTCCTGTTACACATTATAATTTGCTTGTTGAATGTTGAAAGACATTTGTGTGTATGAGCTCTAATACATCAGTTTGTTTAAATATGTATAAAGAGGCACTGGGGCAGCTTTGAGTTTATCGGAATCAGACCAGACCTATTTGCTTAGGAAAATAGTTATTTGATAGTATTAAAGTGATACTGTGTGTCTGTCTGTCTATCTACTGCACCTCATCCTGCAAGTAAAAAAGCATTAATTTCCTACTGAATACCTGCTCTTTGTTGAATGTTTTTAATTTGAACCTTTTCTGGTGGATGCAAGTTGACATCAGTGGGAACATAATTAGGCCTTCTGAAAGATTAATTTGTTAGGTGTACAGCTCTCTTGCTTTCACTGGTTGTTCACCCTTTAACATCAAAAATTCATACTGATATCACTAAGACCTGAAACATTTTCTTCAGTTATTGCTTAATGGAGGAAATCTTGATTCCTAAAGGAAGGGATTAATGGAATGCTGGAAGTATTGTTTAAATTTCTTGGCCACTAAACAAAAAATTGTATACAAAAAGCAATACTGCAGTGCTGTAGTGTAACTTAGGAACCTTCAGATGTGTCTATTTAGCAGTTTTACTTATTACTGTGTTTGTACGATTAAGTTCACAGGTATGTCCAGACCAAGTAAGCATAAATTTTTTTTCTACTCTGTAGCTGGAAAAAAACCCCAACAAAATAAAAATGTGCTCCGGGGCTAAAGCTAAATATGCCAGGCTTAGCCAGAGTGTGTTTTTGCAGCCAAGTTATAAATCCCCTAAAGTAGGGGTTTGCAATGGAAAAAGTGACAGCCCTGTTCCCCAAACAAGCAGCTCTACCTGGGCCTGATACAGCTGGGATTCCGATGTGATCAGGAAGGAATTGTTTTTAACATACAGTGAGGTTGAATGTTGATTGTTTTTAACGACGTGTTTGAATTACGATAGAAAGCATGGTACTTCCCCCCTCCCTCATTTTAGGTAATGTCATTGTGTTCTTTTTTAGGAGTAAATTGCTTCCTTGTGTCCTAGTTTTGTTATAAAAATTCACTTGCCCAGTTGATGGCACAGCTGAGTGGAGCGGCGTGTTGGGCACCTTGTGTGTGTAGGGGCTGATTCCTGGCAGCCGCAGAGAAGAAATGGGAGACCCCAGGTCTGCCTGGGGGTGCGCGGTACCTCCTCCCCATCAGTCACAGGATGCTGCAAAGGGCTGGTAGCTTTCCACCACACCGCCACTCCCGGTGCATTAAAAAATCCTTACGCGTCGCTACTTCTGCTTAAATAATTAACTAATGGATTATCCTGATAGCTCAGCAGTTGCTGTAATTCTTCCCGAAAAAACCCATAGCGGTTCGTCTTACCGTGTTGGCGGCCGGTCACACCGCCCGGAGTTTTTCTCCTTGGCTGCGTAATAGTGTGAGGGGAGCTCTGGGAAACCCAGCTGTAAAAGCTCTATGTACACTGTAAAAAGCACGAAGGCAAAGGAGGGAGGAAATAGGGGTGATCGGGAAGAAAGTGGCGGCTAAAGTGCGGTCGGTGTGTAGCCTTGCACAAGATTGAGTCCCTGTGAGGAGCAAGAGCTGGGAAGTCTGCGGTGAGGCTCTGCCTCAAGTACGCACGTACCGAGTGTGCACAGGTACGCTGCGTGTTTGGGTGCCCTATTTTCGAGGATCAAATGTGGGTTTATCTGCATGAGCACTGCAGTTTGGGTATGAAATGCTGAGGAGCATCTTCAGTGATCCCCACGTACTGTGCTTTGGTTCACGTTGCCGAGTGGACTTGGATGACGTGTACCAGATCCCTAAACCGGGGATTGCGCTCCAGCCTCTTTGAACATTTGGTCATGAAAGCAGACTTGTGGTAGGCTGAAAAAATCCTTGAAACACAAGAGGTGTCGGGATGGAGTCCACAGAACTAACTGGGGTAAAGCCCTGCTTTTTGGGGCTGCGCTGCTCGTCAGCATAAATGGTGTTCATTCTGCTTTCCTCCTGCTAGGACACTGCAGAGGTGCACATAGACATACCCTCGTGGTACTGCAGGTTATAAAATACGTAAAAGAGGATGAATCACTCTAGTTTTCTTTTCCTCAGGAATTACATCTGCAGTATCCCATTTTCGAGCAGCATTATTATCCATCCATCCATCTATCTATGTGGGGTTTTTTCTTTTTTTTCAGTCTGTGGTTTAAAACATCCATTAACTATGGCCTTACGGTCTTCTGTAGTCTCTCAGGATCTAAAGCTTATGGGATGGTAAGCTTTGACCCTTGTCAGGGTTTTCTGATTAATTCCTTACTGCAATCGGTTTCTTTTTTACTATATAAACTTTCTTGCAAGTTTTCTGTAGGATTGTAGTTTCAGGCATTTTGTTGAATTCTGAACAACTGACAAGAGTGCTAGTTCTGACTTCAAGGGGTTTTTTTATTAGAGCTCAAAATCTGTGTTTTCTTAAAATATTTTGGAAAATGATGTTTTTATCTTTTTAAATGCAAGCAGGTAAGCCTAATGCTAAAAAAAATCCCCAGCAAAGAAACAGGTGAGAATGAAACAGCAATGCTAGGAAAGATTTGGGCTAGGAGAAGTAGTGAGCAGGAAACAAGTCAGAGGAAGCTGAAGGGAGCAGAGACACGAAGGCGCAGTCAGTAGTCACGGGGAGCTTGCAGGGGAGGTCTAAGTCTTGCAGTAACGCATGTGTCCTTCCGCAGCAAATGTTAATAGAGCTCTGCAAGCCTTGCCAGAATCCCTAGGTACAATCAGACTTTCACACTCAGGTGAGGAAAGATGTGCATGCAAAGATAGTAATAAAAGAATCTGGTCAATGCTCTTTGTCATTATCTTAGTGTGGATGTGTTCTTCCCCTTCGGTGTAGGTAAACGGAGTTCAGCTGTACGGAAAGTCACGCCGTGAGGCAATCACTTTTCTGAAAGAAGTGCCAGCCCCATTTACACTCGTTTGCTGTCGGCGACTTTTTGGTGACGGCAATGAGTCTCTTGTGGATGAACCCACCGTGGGAGTTTCCCCTCCAGAACAAAAGGTAGGCTTCTTCTGTCATTAGATACGTGAAACCACAGTAACTTTTTGAAAAAGGGCATATATTTCTGGGAAAGCGATTCAGCTTTCTAAAGACAGTGTTTCTGTTCTCCTTTGGCTGTTTGATCCAGCAAATAACGTTTCCTAAAATACAGTTATATGAGGCAGTTTTGTATTAAATTGTCATATAAAGCTGCGTTTGCCATTCACTTTGGGCTCGTAAGGGACAGCTGGTGTTTCACTGATAGTTCATGTTTGCCACACCGATACTTTTACTGCAGGTTGGTCATGAGAAACTTCATTGTACTATAAATACAAGGTGGGTAAATCACTGCGCTAGCACGCACACTACGTACATCCCATTCATCATTCTTACACTTAATAGGTGAGTGAGAGCTCTGAATTACAGTAAATCACATCCTTGCCATTACCATTAGCTGATTACTTCCATGTTCTGAGTAGGTTTTTATAGAACTGGAAAAAAAATGAAATTTAATGGTTCTTTCCATTGCAGAAGCTTTAAAGTCTCAAACTAAAGCTTGACGCTTGTAATGGTTGTTTCTATTTATAAAAGGTATTTACACCTTGATTTCTCATCTTCTGATATTTTTCTGATCTAATTTCCTCTGAGGTGGAAAGTTAAACAGGAAATATGGATGTTTCCTGGAAGAATGTGTACAGCATTATGTCTTTTGGTGAAAGGCTCTTTCTGTTGCAACAGAACTTGTTCCTCTGTGTTTTTCGACACTGCGTTTTACTGAATGTTTTCCATGGGCATCCTGTCAGTTGCACATCCTTGCCCTAAGGTGATGCTGAGGGAGCAGAGCTTGCCTTCTCCTTGGAGCAATCTCACAACGTTTTTGCTTTCTTTGTCGAAAGTATCAAGAGTGTGTGCAAAAAAAAATTTCTTCCCTTTGCCTGGTGGCAGTGCTCTGTGTAACAGGCATATTTGTCCAAAGACAGACAGTTAAATCAGTGTAAAGTTAATGGTACAAGATTCTGATGTTTTTCCTGGGACATCGTACACTGGTATTTGGTAAAGACTGTACTGATAAAATAGCAGTAATATTAAAATACGCATTTTAAGTTAGGCAACAAGAGAAGCCTTTTGGGAAGATGTATTTATGAAGCTGTCCTTACCCAACAAAATTGGGTAACTCTACCTCTTTCTCTTATACCTTAGCACAAGAACTGTGAAAGAAACTGCTTTTTGCAATTAGATATATTCATGTAGTTGTGATACAGAAATCTTTTGTTTGCATATTTAATGCCGTGTGCCTCAGGTGATCCTGATTGTCTGGTCTTTCTGTCAGCTCTCTGTGGTTAAATCTTTTATGCTAAGATATTTATTTTTCCTTTATGCATCTAATGGGACAGCTGAAGTTCATCAGCATGTAACAGGTTAGTAAGATTATAACGACTAATTTGACTAATACATGGATATTTGTATACCAGTTTGGGCTCTGATGCTAAAAACAAGTAGGTGTAGGGGAATATCCGAGGCATCAAGATGGAGAAAACTGGATGCATCATGTTCAATGAAGTCTTATTTCCATAAATGCTTTTATTTTAGGGCATGTATGAGCCAGTAATAACTAAAATATTGAAGGAATAATGTTTAGTAAGGAACTGAAAGTATAGTATTTGAACTAGAGCTTTTATTTTTCAGGTGAAACCTGTGGAAGACATTAATCCTGAGGAGGAAGAAGGGGAATTAGCATTGTGGTCTCCTGATGTGAAGGTTATTGAACTGGAGAAAGACAAAAACGGTTTAGGATTCAGCATTTTAGACTATCAGGTATGCTTTCTATATAACTGAATACTAAAAATGCCTTTGATCCTTTATCTTGTGTGGTGCCTTAAAACGTTTTGTGCTGTTGATTAGTGGGTGATCAACTTGCCGCTTGGGCCTAGAAACTGTGTGGGGAAAAAGTAATTTATTTTGAGGCCAACTCCATAAAATATAGTGCAGAGCTTGTTCTAACCCAGTCTGATTATCGGATGGGAGCAAGTGCAAAATCTTTAATCAAACTCCACCTCATAACTCTGAGTTTAATGGCTAAATGCTGGGGGAAGGTTGGGTTTTGGTTTATTTTGGTTTAACTTGGAATGACTTTTCAGCTATAAGAGTGACAAGCAAACTTCCTTAGGTATTGCAGCATCCTTTCCTAGGTACTAAATGTAATGAGTCTTCTGCTTTTCCTCCCCTCACTGCCCCAAATCACCTTTCATTTCGCACTGGAGTACAGACCCGTACTGGTCTGTGGTCCCACCCAAGCCATGGCAGGCTTCTCTCAGGCTTTGAATCGAGCCAAGAAAAGCAGAGTTTGCAGAGGTAGCTTTACCAGGAGCGGCCTTCGCAGTCAGAAGGGAACGTCAGGGCTGACAGGTGAACTGGTGGTGTAACTCAAGTTTCTGTAAACATTCACCTTAATACATTTATTTAACATACTGATATAATAATAAAGATTGCAGAACCTAATTAATGATTTTTCAGTTCTGCTTCTCTGTTTAAACTATGAAGCCAGTATGTCAGAGGTACGGGTAGAGTTTTTGGGGGTGTGGGGGTACGTGTTTGTGCAGGGATGAAGTTGACTTGCTGAAGTCATTCATAGCTTAAAACTTCATTTCTCCAAGAAGAACCATTTTGAGGTAGATTATACACTTACTTGTTAAACTCCTTAGAAATCAACAGGCAAGTGTTTAACTGGAGGAAAATTCTACTGAAATTAATGAATCCTTCTGTCAGAAATATTTCCTTCAATTAAATAAATAGAAACTCTCAAAAATTTGTCATTGGAATAAAACGTTCTTCATGTTTCTAGTCAACGTGATGTATTTTTAAACCTCCAGCCATCATATTCATAAGGAAATAAAATAGCTGGATCACTCTTCATAATAATACACACATCACATCAGAATACTGCTTAAACATGTGGTTTAATAAAAAGCGTTCAACCGTTGTGCTTAAATGTCAAGTGATATAAAATTCACTTTTTGATACAATAAGGCGTGAATTGGGAATGAATAAGAATAAAAAATATTTGAAGTATTATGCAGAACCATTAATTCTATATTTTACCAGTGTGATTTAAGATTACTGAAAATAGATCCTGTTAGTCATTTTCGCTGACACATGTTGTGTTGCAGTGCCAGCTTTACTGTAGAGTTGTGAGGAGTCTTTACAGAGCAGTAATACACAGATTTGCTTTTAAGTTCTCATATAATCAGAATTAATGAAGGCTTTAATAACAGGCTTTTTATTTACTTATTCACAGATGCAAATACATGAGCAATGTTGTGGTACTTTCAGCTAAATTTAAATACATTCTAATCAATTCTAAATGAGTGGTAAACCACTTAATCTCAGATCTTTATAATTTCAAGATATTTATGTATAAAGTATGCTCTTTTGTTTGGGATTTGCCTCTTAGATCTTTTACACTTTTCATCATCTGCAGATTAATTTCTATATAGAGATATCTGTGTGTTTATGTAAATACATCCATCACATTCTGGAGTGCAGGGCAAAGAAAATAAATAATTGTCCACGCTGGATTGGAGGCAGGGGAAAGAGAAAGTACGTGGTTCCTAGGAGACTGGTTGCCGTTCTTCAAGCAGATTTGCTGAGAAGCACAAAATTACAGTGAAGTGTTTAATTGTGGCTTAAAGGACCCGAGACCTAACTCTGTACCCGACAGTTCTTTCTGCAATTTTACCCTTCTTTAAAAAATGGAGGATTTTTTTAGGCACATACTTTGTTTTGCAAGGAAATACTCAGGCCAGCTAATGGCAAATGACACTACTTGCACTATAGATCCACTCCATTTGGCTCTTTTTGAGTAATCGTAGGATTTATGGTCTTCAGATTTGTGTTTTTAATGAAGCTGTGTATTCACATGGCCTAGCGTCATGGATCAACGCGGCAGTGAGAGACCAGCCTTTCTAGTTGTTGGTGGAGGTAGCGTGGGGAGGAAAATACCTTCTAAGAGGTGATTCTAAGCAGAAGGCCTGTTCGTGGTGCTCACAATTACACACGTAAGGACTGACGGTCTCGATCCGTTACGGAGTTTGAGGAAACTTTGGCATTACGTGCCCAAGTCGGAGGTGGTGGCACTGTATTCAAATTATTTCTGTAGCTGTTGGGGTTGAAATGGTACTTCAGAAATCCTGGCAGAACTTCAGGCTGATCAGTAGGAACAATGAAGTAACATGACAGGAGAAAAAGGGCGATGCAGTATTGTTCCGTCTTACTTTCCCCCGCATCAAGGTACGATAACATCTCTGAAATGCTGCCGCAGTACCAGTGAATACCAGCCCGCATCAGTTGCCTCTTGTGCGAGACTGGTGACTGTTATCTGCAGTATTTGAGAAGCCCTGACATCCTGCTCACACAGACGTGCTCAGTCATGACAGTGAGCGATGCCAGATGCGCTGCAGAAGTGGAAGAATGCGAAGCAATTAGAGACCAGGCTGCTGGCAGTGCTGGGGAAGTTTCTCCCTGCTGCTTTCGTTCGTGCTTGGTATTGGTTTGGAAACATGAGGCTTTTTACCTTTCCATCTTACTCCTGATTGTAGAATTAGATGTGGTGCTGAACACTCTCACGGTATATAATTTATAGTATTTGTTGGTTTGTTCTCCCAAAGCTGACTGCGTGGTTGGCGTGAAGGATGCTGTGCCTCAGCTGTCTAAAATGCTGGGCTTCCCCAGCCACACTCTGAAAACCAGTGTTAATAAAAAACTCTTTGTGAGGTGGAATAGGAATCTGAGTACGTAGAAAACTAAATGCTGAGATGGAGAAATTGTTAGTCTGGTGTATTAATTTTTAATGGGCTGTCTTTCTAATACTGTTTCATTTATCAACTAAATGATAAGCTCATCCCAAGTGACTTGCAGGATATTCCCAGAAATGTACAAGCATAATTCCAATGCCTATATATTTTAATGAACTAATTACAAATTAATTATACCAATTATGCATAATCAATAGTATTTCTACTTTGTCCTGTGTTTTCTTTTGTCCGTCTTTAGGGATTTAAGTGCTTAAAACAGAGCTGCCGCCTTTTTTTAGGAAGATCTTCTTGGAAGGCCTATACACATGTTCCTAAAACTTTGGGATGCCTTTAGAGAGATAGACTTGCCCTCTTTGCCGTAACAGGGCTTTTTTATGTGGGATAGTGTTCAGGTTCCTATGATCACTATGAATAAACAAATCTTTTCCCCCTTTTGCTGAATGTTTGCAATTATGTGGTAGGAAACCCTGGATCTTTGAGGCTGCTGCTCTGCTAACAAGGTCGATACTTGGCGAGAGGGGAGGCGGATCCTTTGTATTTCCAAAATGATCAGTTTCACTGGATTTTTTTTTTCTCCCAGTGCAATGGCTGATTTAAATAAGAAACACTGAAGAGGTCTTAAAATGCAGTCTTCTGCGTGTTTTTCTGTGTCACCCCTGTGCTGGGATCTTGTCCAAGCTCTCAGGCTAGGCATTGCTTTTTCTCGACAGTGCTTAGGTGGAAAGCCGGCGGAAGGAGGGGCAGCGGCAGCCGTGCCGACGGGCTCCGCGTGCCGTGTGCTCTCCTCCGCTGATAACGCGCCGTGCTCAGCAGGGACCTGAGGAGCAGCCTTGCGCTGCTGGTGATCCTATCTCCAACAGGGACCCTGCCCCCCTTTCGGCCATTAAAAAGGTGTGCTGTTCGGTCTTCGGGCCAACTTCGCGGTGAAGCAATATACTCTACCTCCCTTAATTTCCTTGTAATTTCACTTGGAGGAGTTGCTCTCTTTTTCACCTCTTAACTAACTTTTATGTAGTGTTGCTGGCGCCGTTAGCGGCAGGTATGTTTTGAGGGACCCAGTGCGCTGTTTGTGGAGTGCTTTGGGATCATCCGTGATGCAAGGGGCTACGGTAAGGGCGTTTCTTGTTCTTTGTCAGTAGTCGTGGAAGTATCCAGCTTTAACAGTAACTTTGTCTAGCCTGAAGCTAAACCTCCTAGCCAGCAAGTCAAGAGCTAAGCTGTTGTTACCGAGACCAATCCTCTTTCTTAGATGTTAAAATGAGAGGGGGCATGGTACGTCTCCTCCTCAGCTTAAAACAGAGGAGAAACGCTGTATAAAAATGGTGGAGATCCCCAGGCCTTAGAGCACGAGGAAGGAGAAATCACACAAGATGAAGACCTCTAGAGAAAAGAGAAGAGATCGCAATAGCGTGAAAGGTACTTTGAGCGGCCCTGAAACAGTGTTTGCCGAAGACCTGATGCATGCAGGCCAACAGATTCTGTCAGGAGTGTTTTACGGAAGTATTGGAAAAACCACAGGTAGCTGAATTGCGGATTTCTTGAGGCAGTATTGACCAGAAGGTAATGTGGATGGTGTGATGAGTTTTTATCAAATTAAACAAAAAGCTGAATGGACTTTATGTGGAGCTTAATTTACTGCGATTTGAAGGCAGAGTATGTTAAAGCAGCTGTTTGAAAGTGCGTGAAACCAGAGAGTGCGAGGGTTGGAATAGGGAGGGTTGACGCTTCCATAGCTCTTAGGAATGCCTGCCATGGAAGGGCAAGTGCCCAGTGCCCTGCAGACCTGTGGGGCTGTAGGAGCTCACGGGCTTACCTGCTCCAAGACCTCCCTGCCAACGTGGGTGTAAATATCTACCCGTCCGTGGAAGCGGGAACAGGCATTTCAGGGCTGTTCTGAGCCTCATGTTACCCTGACCTGAAGCGGCACGAGGCGTGCCTGCCTTTGTCAGCCTGGGTCACTGCCGAGGGGTTCTTGCTGCAGCCTGGCAACACGGGCGCCGCAGC